TCAGGGCCACAACGACATATTTATATTTAAAAAAAAACATGACGGAAATGTTCCACCCTTGAACCGGAATCTTTGTGAAGCGACCTTCCGCGTGGGTATCCGACTCACAACTGACTTGATAATGATCGTCCGCAGGGTCGGGAAACTAGGCAGTCATCCCCAAAATACACAAATGAATAAAATAGTTTGTTGTTTATGATATCCGTTATAGAGTTTAATTCCTGAGTATTTATGTAAAAGGCAGCATTCATCATTGATAAATAAGATTGTCGACCGAAGTATAATATATAAAATTGCTAATTGGCTTTTTAAAACACTGAACTCTTTGTAATTTGTTTCTGCAGACTGGTCGTGCTTACTGTAAACGTAATTCTGGGCATGCAATTCCTGCCAAGGTATATTTTAACAGGATGCATCAAGGTGTGTTAAACAAAAACAGGTCAGTCAAAAAAGTCAAAGGGTCAAAAACTCTAAGGTCAAGAAAAGTTTAACGACACGGCTTGCTATACCAAAGGATATAATAAGATATACCTATATTTTGACTGTGTTTACACTGACGGACTAATTCAACTACAAAAATACATTGTTATTGCTGATTTAAGTCTAGTAATAGTTTCAAAATGACATACACAACACATTGAAATGTAACATTAAATAGACTTCAGTTAAGAACAGAAGAGGACTACCATTGTGGAACATCTGTTAGGAGACTGTTAGTAGGTGACACCCTCAATTACTACTGTGCTGTCTGACTTAAAAAGGGCCCGGCACCTCTTGTAGGACTTCAAATTGAATGGAGCGTGTGAGACTGAAGATGGCCCTGTATTTGTGCATGTTGACAACAGTTATCATTAAACCGGCAAGCATTTAGCCGATGTGTTAGAGCCCGTTTCCTAGGATATAACCTAGTCAAAAAATAAAAACCTACAAATTAGCTATTGCTATCTGAACAAGCTCGATGGAGAAACTTGTGCAAGGCCGTGTGGAGGGCACCAGACCACGGGGTCGATCCCCAACCCGCTGGATCGACCTAATCAAAGGAATCACTGAATCGACTGCAGTACAATGTGTTCGCAATGCACAAAGCCGACAGAAGTTGGAAGGACGTCGCAAGACGAGAAGCGACCCTGAAAGTGAGCGGCGACGGGTGAGCCGCAACCCCTGCCCATCAACAGCCACGACCACTCTGGCAAGAGTCTCCGACTAAATTATTACATGAAACAAAAGTACCTATATTATTGACGTTGTATTTAACAAGTGTTAATTTATTTGCTAACTTTAAATAGGCGCACATATTTCGGTGTTTAATCAAAAACCATTGGTAGATAATTATGCTCCTAAATAGAGCTTGGAATATCAGATAGGCACAACAGGAAAATAAATACTATTGTAAATCTAATCAGTCTTACACTTAGGCACCGCATATTCACAACATTGAAAAATGTTCATCTTTCTAAAGCTAAGAATGTAAATATTAAACATTATAATCCTTTATATTTAGATAGTAACACTGTATTGTGTAGACAAGCATATGATGATAAAAAATTTAATTATATCTTATTATTAATAAAAAATTGGTTTAATAAAGAATAAAATTATATCTACAATAATCCATTACGTTATAAAATTCAAATATGACATAAGCATGGGCATATGGATAAGATTAGAATTATTAGCATTGCACTATATTTGCAGCAGGCATGTAGCAGATTCAGATGTTAATACAAAAACCAGCTGAGCTTTCATTCTAAGTGTTACCTATTTATAAATGCTACATGCTTCATGTCAGTTTGTGATGTAAGCACCAGGATAATATTAATAGCACTTAATGGCACTGGTATTAGTCTTAATAATAATAATAAATCCCATAATGTGTATTTTAATTACAATATCATTATTATCTGTACATACTGGAGCAATGTGGAGCAAGAGATACATTCTTCCAGAATAAAGTATGGGTACGAAATGCAAGTATGTCAGTATATAGGTATATAATATAATATGGTAACAGTTTATAATACTTAAAAAGCAGTTTATTTATCATTGGAAAAAACCTCTTGTCAGTAACCAGTGGTCTGTTGTATTAGACCTCTGTATTAGACTTTCTGGTTTAAATTATTTTTAAACCATACATGTCAGGATTCCCTTGGAACGCAACAAACTCACTGGGAATATGTTTTACAAAAAAAATATATAAATATTTAACACCTAAAAACAAATGATGTCAATTTAATATAAAAAAAGCTTACTAACTACTCAGCTAAAGTGTAGAACACTATTTAAAGTACAGAGATCTAAAGTCACTTGGTTGTAATGAGTCACATGACTGAAGCAAATTGTCTCTACTAATTAATGGATAGTACAAAACAAAACAATATGTTGGTACAATTGTAACGTACAGAGATATATAATATTACTATATAAATCTGTAGTGATAGTTAATAAGTCCACAGAGAAGTCTTGTCTTATCTAACTGTGGTAGTGGCACAATGTCAAGTAATGTAATTCTCCTTGACAGTTGACTAATTACACTTGATATTACTATCATAAAGATGTTAGATAAAATAAGTTGAGGTACCTATTAATTAATTACAAATATCATATTTAAAAGTCTTCAAGATGGAAATAGAGGCTTCAAGTGTCTTTTATTCATTTTGTTTAAGCAGTTAAAGCTTGATAAATTAAAATATACATAATCTTAAAATTTCTTTTAAGGATTTTTTTTTTAATGAATAATTGTGTTCTTATTTTACTCATGATACATATATACATTACATTGGATAGAAATCATAATATAACTTAGGCATAAATAACAATACATATAAAGTTTAAGGATATGTTTAAAACAAAGTGTATCCCAACTTATATATAAATGCACGGTCTAGTCTTTAGGATGTAGTAGAAGAAACATTGGATTACTAAAATACTATTAGACCATGACGAATAATAAGGCAGTAAGATTCAAGAAACATTTAAAGCCATATTATAATACATAAATGCAAATGAAGAACAGATCTTATAGCTTTCCAAAAAAATTACAATGACCATATTACTTAACAAAATTAACTATTCTGGATTGGAACATGCATTTATCTCTAAATTCATGTAACATACAATTGTCTCCAAAGAAAAGATAGAAAATTAAGGATTGGTGTAATCAGTTGTATAAAAAAAAAGATTATAAATAAAGGTTTGCATCTTAAAAATAATTACACTAGCATCACTTTTATTGTTTCAACTCCTCTTGTGTTTTAATTGTAAGGAGAATAGTATCTGATATATCATCAGTGAAGTTCTAACAGTGCGTTAGTCATTCTCTGTTGTTTTATCATGTTTATACTATTCAACTGAGAAATCTCGTCGGTTTCATATCAACCAGTCAGAAAAGAGTTCGCTAATTTTTAAAGCCCATTTTTATGAATCCATCACTGCATTAATAAACCTATATAGTCCAATACAACATAATTTACTTAATTTGTTATGGATTTGTAATCTGTAAATGATCCATAAGATTTATTACACACTGAGTTGAACAGAGAATAAATAGCACAATACTTTGTATAAAAAAAAATGTAATGGTTATGTGAAGAAATATCTTAAAATTAGTCCACCTTAAGTGAAACTATGATTTTGTATCCTAATAAAAATTGATATTTACAACTTACGCACTGTTATAAACTTCACTGACAATATTTAAAATAAGGAACATATCCCTAATAAATCTAGAAGCTCAAGGAATAACTCTGGTATTGCAGTTAGTGCATATCTATTATACTCAGCAGATTTGCTATCTAAACTTGATGCAAAATTTTATCTCACTGGATGTTAAGCACTGACAAAATGCAGAAGTTTTAGAAATCATTTGTAAAGCAAAAAACTAGTACTATAAATTTCACTTACATACTTTAATAGATGTATTTTTTATTACCCAAAATGCCATAGAGTAGGGTGGCAGCGATACATGGTTACCATATTTCAGTGATGTGGTTTTAGTTCTGGTAATGAATCTTCAAAGTAAAGAGAGGCCAACTATTCAAACAGCACTGTTTTAGTTTTCTATTGTTAGACTGAGCACTCAGTAATGTACTCATCAAATAACTAAATTGTCACCATGCAATGCTGTACCATTCAACAAGAATCTAACCTTTTCCATTTCTAAATTAATAGCATATACAGTTATAGCGGAAAGTATCATTAGTGTACTTTCTGTTGGCACAATGCGCATACATTCTTTGATAACGGGAACATTTACAATCCACATGCAATACTTTCTCTCCTACAAGTTTTTTGAACAAAACACTGATCCACCAATCTGGCAAAGGTTCCAAGTTTTTGTCAATCAAGCTGTAGTTTCCCTCCTATTAAACTTTGTCTGACTACTGTAGTGATATTGTATTTTGCTGCCAGACCCAATTTATCTAACCAGAGTGGACTTCCAGCAAAAGAGTTGATAGACCAGGTGCTCCTCCTCCATAGGAACTGCTGGGTTTCAGTGAGCCACATAGGCATATGCTTATACTTCTTGGTGTGATTCCTCATCGTTTCTATTTGAGTTTTCAATAAATCAAATGTATTCGGATTCCCAAAAGTCTTCTAATGTAGCAGTTCTACTGTTTAGATAATCATTGGTGCCATGACACAGTATTAATATACTTAGAACCATGTTTCAAAAATTCTCTCATGTATTCTAAGCAGGAAGGGTGTTCAGGTTGAGGCCTAGTGGTGTCTGGCCCAACCAGTGAGGAATTTCTGTAACCTGAGTGATTTAGCAGCTTACGAAGCTTTAGAAATCTTGAGCCAATGTGGTAGGTGTCAAGCTTACATTGAAAACATGTTTGAAAGAGTTAGGCTCATTGCCTAGCTGCCAGTCTATATTGTAATCTCTCACATTAGAGTAGGAGTAAGAGTTCTTTGCATTATGATCATTCCATCCATTTTCATCACGAAGAAGGACATTAAATGTAAAAAGTAGTTTGAGATTTGTGGCTTTACAAATTCATTTATTTCTGTCCATTCATTACCAGTCCTGATAAAGAATGGCAAAACATGGTTTTTACATAAACTTCTGATGGAGCACAAAGTATATTTAGGTGGGGATTCTCATTGCATTGGCTGCAAGTCATAGCTGGCACTTCCTTTTCACTGAATATAAGGCGGTCAGACATGGTGCCGCCTAAGCGGAGCCGCGCCGGCGCTAAAGCTCTGGCTAACTGTCGAAATCGTGATTTTTTGAAGTCTACTTTCTTATAGTTTTCTATTTCAGATGTATCAATACCTATACTAAGGAAATTTTCAGGCATAGTATAGTGTACCTTTTGGTGTTCGTCGATTGTAATGTAGCATTTCTCTCCAGAGTTGTATTTCACAAACAACACCATTAAAGCCACGTTACAGCAGAATGCTATAGCGCCAAGCGGCCACTAAGCTTTTGTTAGACAACATTTTGTAACACTAAATTAACATTGTTATTTTGCAATTGACGCTAAATATATGCTGGACCCAGACAGCCAACCAGACACAGACACTGCCAGACAGTGTAATGCAATGCCATGCATGCAATCTGTCTTCGATTTTTGGATTCAGCAAATGCCAAACAATAGTGTTGTACGTACATGATGGAACTGATATATTCGTATTAGCCAGAAAAGTAAATACTACATTTACATTAAATTCCGATATTTCTTAAACAAAAGTAACGATAACGTGCGTTCCGACCGGGTGTCCATAGATCCCTCATTTAAATCGGGGTTGTTGCGAAGTACTAGCTTTTGCCCGCGACACCACCCGCGTATATGTTAGTTATTGCGGTAAAAAGTAGCGTATTTTTTTCTATGATAATGTAGTGTAGAGGCACGGGTGTCATGTCTCTCCAACAAAAAAGGAGGATCCTCCGACCAGGCAAGGTGATCATGCCTGGTGGAAGGCCCAAACGGTTGATATTGAGAAGTTGTATGTATGGGTATATCGGCGTGAGAATTATTCATATCGCGGATGCAGGATAAGCAGTTACTCTGTAGTTCAGTGTGTCTGATGGGCCTGTAGTATGTTACTTCATTTCACCGTATATGAAAGTCGCCACATCATTCAACTCCAAGCCCGTTAATGTCGGGCCGAGGCGGTATATATGTTAATCGGCATGAGAAATTATTCATATCGCGATACAGGATGAGGCGTTACTCTGTAGTTCGGTGTGTCGAAGTCACCACAGAAGCTTACCATTGTTGAAAGAATTTTAAATTCGTTTAGTGTATAGGTGTGAAAGCGTAATAACTAAATTGTGTAAGTATACATAACTAAATAATGATATGTTTCATTCAAGTAATTTATTAATGTCAGCATCAGCTGCCGCTAATGCAGTAAAAATCTCATCCGCAAGAAACCTGGTTTAAATTACGGACATCATATCAGGCAATCTAAACATTGCCAAGATTGGTAAGATACTTATTTTATTTCATTTCACCATTAATTTGTGAAAATATTTCCAGTCTGTTACCTTATCTGTTTATCTAAAAGTGGTTTTAACCATTAACCAACAGTTAATTTTGTATACATATGAGTAGGTAAATAACAGGTATTTCGGACAGTCTTCCTATAAGGGAATGACCACTTATGGTAGGTCCACTGTTTTAAGGATGATTTCCTTCAACTGTGGTGACCACAGTATCAACGTCGATTCCGCACACTCTGGCACTCACCACGCTGCTACTGTAACCTGCTTCTGCTACGGTGATGGGTCTGGTCAGCTCCTGCCTGTGTGGACTAGACTCCTTCCTAGCTTAACGACTCAGGAGACTTTTACACCTCAGATGGTCTCTTTTCACCCTCTCTTTCACGAGCATTACTTGTGCACAGAACGATGTGGCTTTAGGAATTATGCCTTTCCATTATTTTTGCTGTAGCACGCACCGTTGTCGAGATACCAGTGAGTTAACTAAAATTAAGACAGTAAAAGCGTAGTAAAGATTCGAAGTGTTAAAAAAATTCGAGAATAGATGAAACGCACTTTGCGAAGAGCATTGCGGAAAGTGTAATCGGGCGAGGTGAACTGAAGTTGAGAAGGAGATATAAGTTAATAAAGATAGAAAGAGAGAGTTACGTTTCGTATATTACTGTAGGGGCTAGGGAGAGAGGTGCGAGCACACTTTTTCTTTCTCTCTTTCTCTTACAGCCAAGAAGTTTTACTTCAGTCGTGTGGTCTAAAGTACACTCGTTTCTTTCGTCAAAATATTTCTAAGTCTTTATGAGGAATAAAGACATGAGAATAAGTACATTGCCCCTTACCCGCTTCATAACACTAAACACTTTCATATCTTGCTGCTTTGATGCTTAAGCAAACTCAACGTCTTTTGAAAGCTAAAGGCTTGAACTTTAAGATACCTTTACGGTAAACTTTACCTTTACATGTATACTTTTTTAGTCATAATAAAATTTGGAGGGCTACATGACCTTAATAATGGGCAAAAATTGCGTTTATTGCACTTTTAGGTTAGAATATCAGTTGGTTTTGGCACAATAAAGCTTACCTAGATTTGCTCCAAATATAGTTAAGTAGTTTTGACATTCCATTTTTGATCATCAACGTTTGTCGTTGACTGTACCAGTATATTTTAGAAGTAATTCAGCGGAAATATTTCAATAGATTTTACAAGAAGTATCGATATTTATACTCATTTTTTATTTTCTGTGTGTTTGTCAGGTCCTGATTAACAAATGTTCAAATTGCACTAAACATAATTGTAATTTAAAAAGTGATCGTGAGGTATGATTCTACACTCGTAAAATAGAAAAATTTGTTAGTCGATGTGTTTACTTTGCACTTCGACAGCAGCTTCATCGTTAGCAGTCATTGTAAGACGTAAATGATTCGATGTCTAATACTTTGGTTACTTGGATCTTACCTACACCGGTTGTTGAAGATATTTGAGTCATCGTAGTTGAACTATTTTAATAAATAAAATACAAATCTTAGGGTTCCTTTGGAAACCTAATTAATGTTGAAACTTGGTTGTTTTCCAGATTTCGCACGACAACACAATGTATCAGCTATATATTTATAATCAAAAACATGTTGTTTGATTTTTAACCTGTGAATTTTACCAAGAATATCCTACGAAATGCGGAGGGCTATGAAGTTTATCTTAAACTTTCCTAAATGTATACATTAAGGCCATCATACATACAACAGATTCTTTTTCCTTAACACAAAGATCTTTCTAGCGATACTAAGTTGCATAGTCGCAAAATAATCTCCGTCAAAAGATATTTTAAATACTAAAAAAATAACTAAAATAATTACTTTCGCTAAAAAAGAACATTTGATACTAATGAAAATGTAAATACGAGTCAGTAGTCGGTAATGAAAGTACGGGTGGGAGGGTAAATCATAATACTTGATATCAGAGCTAATACAGAGAAATATTCGTAATGTCACATCCTTGGCGTCCTTGCTAAGAAACATGCAGCAGTGTTGTCACTATTGAAATATAAAAGAGTGAAAGCTGTTTTAATTTACTTCTTGTTGCGACTTTTTACTTGTTCTACCTATCTTGTCCTTTTTAGTTCTACTTGCCCTTTTCAGGCATGCTTTATACACCCAACCCAACACTTTACACATCTTTCGGCATGCTAATGTTTTTGAAAAAGTTGTATGCTCTGACGTGAATTGTAGTGATGGTATATTTTCAACAAGGGGAAAGGTGAAAAAGAAAATAAAATTCACTTGGTTAGTATCGAATTAAACTTGATATGAACTGCAGATTTTGGAATCATTTTCTGTTAGAGAACAAATCAAAGCTATCAGTTTTTTGAATGCCTTAGCCTAGTGGCCTTAACTTTTGAAGATACTTAGATAACTTTGATGTACATTCTAAATTTTATTGAATCTTTTCAGTACTTTTGCAGTGAAGTAACAGCCTTACTATTAGACATAAAAAAACCTAGTAAACTGTGAATGCACGGTGATTTAGGGTTACTACTTACTCACGCGTTGTTGCCAATAAGCTGTTTTCAGACTATGCAAAAATACCCTATTTCGCATATTTAATAATAAATCGCCTATTTTATAAGTAATTTTTTATTATTATATATAGCTACCATTCCCTACATAACAATTTAAACTACTATTAGATTTACTGTTAAATAGCATCTGACCCACCTACCTAGCAACCCTAACTTACGTACGCAAAATCACAATTCACTGTGATTTTGTCGCATGTCTAGTTACTATAAAATTTATAACATTAAAAATAGTATACTTAGGTATAATGAAATCGTTGTCTCAGCATATCCATCGAATAAATTAGGTGTTTTTTTATTACCTACTCTTACCGAAACCATAGTGTCATGCAATTTTATTGAAAACTAACGTCTACTACTACTACTAGGTATATATTAAAAAATAAAATTACATGAATAAAGTATCAAAATAGGTACCTACCTACCTATCAATTTCCTTGGTATTGCACATCGATTACTACACGATGCCTATGGCTAGATTTAGATTCATGAGAAAAGGAAATGATAGAGTAGCTTTAGTATTTTTTAAACATTGTATGGAGAAATTCATTAACCTTTAAATGAATTGTCGCCTCCCCCCATGCTGGGTGTTATTTACAGTTACAGCCCGAGGGGCGAACTTTCAAGAGGCCGTGCGCCCAGCCACCAGGAGAGTCTCTCTGGTGGTTGGGCGCATTGAGGCTCTGGGCTTACGGGTGGCCCTGGATAAGAAGAAGGCTCTCTTGTTCCATGGGCCCCGTCGTGGTCCGCCCCCCGGCGCCTCCATTGTCGTCGATTCGGTCCTTGTACCGGTTCAGGCCCAGATGAAGTATCAGGGCCTGCTTCTTGACGAGGTGGCTCTAAGACGAGCACTTCCGACAGCTTGCTCCAAAGCTGGTCACCGCTGCTTCTGCCCAGTTTGACCTTCTACGCCCAGCTTGACCGCCCAGAATAAATAGAGAATGTAGATGGTACCCTCGCCATTACAGGCAGGCGCTAGGAGGGGTCCGGATGTCTTAATAATAACAGTTCCCGGATCTCTCCTATTATAGGCACAGAGTAGTACACACCTGTGGTTTTAGGTCAGTTCAATTCCGAGTCAGTTCAAAGACCCGCCGCAAATCCCGGTGTGACGGTCCGAGGGGGCCGCAAAAATTCAATAGCATACAGCCGGCAAATATCTAAATCCGCCACTGTAGAACAGGCACGAAAATGAACATCATGAGAGGTGTGAGACAAGGGAATCCGATTTCATCAAAACTGTTCATAGCAATCTTACAAATCTCATCAAGACTTTATTTTGGATTGAATTTATTATGAAAGGCTTACCATGGTCCAGCAAAGGTATCAATATAAATGGAAAGTTTGTTAGGCACCTGAGATTTGCTGACGACATCATCATCATACTTTTCTCTGGAAACGCACTCAAGTCATGATCAACGACTACCCACCGCGACATATTCATTATATATGTATTATATATACAGGTACACAACATCCCTCTTGAGTTCGTGCAAAAATATGTTTATCTCGGTAAACAAATTTCTTTTAAAACAGAATGAAATATAGTGAAAGTGGATAGAAGAATGGCGATTACCTGCAAAAAAGTAGGAAAGGAAGTTTTCAAGTCTCAGCTCCCACTATAAATTAAAAAAAGTAAAGGATAGGGATATATAGGAGGAATAGGAGGAAACTAGGAGCAATAGTTAAGGTTGGCTACTAGACCTGGACATTCGATCGCAAAACAAGTACCTAATAAAATTCAGACCATTCAAAGAAGAATGAAGCCAGGTTCTGGGTATATAATAAAAAAAATAAAGTGAGACATGTAGAGATTCGTAAAAAGAACAAAGTACAAAACTTAAGGCACTATTTATTTGTTGGTAGCTGGAGTAACTGGTAACTTAAACTGTTTATCGATTCTCAGTAAAAAAATCTTTTCTCAGTAGGTATATACTAAGTTGATTTTTATTTGGATCTTAACTTATGACTAGGTTAATAATTTGGTTGGTAATTTTATTTATTTAAGGTTCACCAACAGTTGTTACAAATATAATACAGGTAGCAACATTCAAGTCTTTGCACATGCGGGGAATAGGCGAATTAACACCAAACACTGTACGGCGAAGAGGTGGAGTGAGGGGTGTTATAGGTTTACGAGATGGTCTGTGGGGTACTTTGAAGTTGAATTTTTTTAATAATTGTTGGCAGTCAATAATTTTGTTAAATAGTTTGTAAGCGAATCTCAAATCCAAGAGCTTCCTTCGGGCCTCCGAGGCACTCATTAGTAGCCTAGTTTATCGAGGTAGGAGAGATTTTTAAATTGCCTACCCTTGGAGTACCCTAGGTATCGGACAAACCTTTCTTGGACTCGTTCTATTCGCAGCGAGTGGGTTGCGTAGTGAGGTCTCCATACTATACTGCAGTATTCCAGGATGCTTCTGACAAGGCCATTGTAAAGAACTAACTTAGTATGTGGGCTTTGAAATACCTTTCCATTGCGAATGACAAATCCAAGCATAGGCTGGGATCGACTGATTATATTCTCGATGTGTAGCTACTTTTATTATTTTAGTGGAAACGAAATCGAACCGACTCAGCGTTAAGTCTCACAAGTTAGATAGGTCTCAAAATGTAGGTGTCAATCAGTGTGTACAATCAGAATTTGAACTTTACACTCATCCATGGACAATTTTTAAAATGTACTCACCTCTATTCGAAATTAGATTTACATTGCTACTATTCTTATATTGTGTGTGTGGGCGCGTGTGTGTACACCTCTAGAATTTCAAATCTGCTAAGCGATATATTTCTAAGTTATTGGCAGTGTCGAAATATTCTAACAAAGTTCATAAGACCTGTATTACCTCGTCTTCTTCAAAGTAACGTTTGTTCTTTACAATACAAGATTTCCTAACTTCCCTACAGAGGCTACCAAACGGACGGAGTTCACCATCGCAAATATGTAGTACCCTCGTCTTCACTGATTCAGCATTGTCCCTATATTGCCCCGTATAGCTCCAAACACAGTCGATCTCCGGTCGATCTCAGGGAGTTCCGTGCATATTTATAATAATACTAATAAAGCCTCTTTATTTTCCTTAACTTATAGAGTTTAAAATAAATACGTTTAACTAAAAAAAAAATGTTTAACACTTAATAATGTTTACAATTAGTAAGGTTAAGGCCCCTGGCGGGTATAAGCCTCCTCCAACAGTTTCCAGGTTTTTCTCCCAATATGCTTTCTTAATCCAGTCTTTTCCAGAATGTTTTTTTCAGCGTTCCTTCGGGCGGCCCTGTAGCTCTCTTGCCACTTGGGCCTGCTCAATTTGTAACTAGATGCGTCCATCTTTCATCTGACAATCACGCTACGTGGCCAGCCCATTTCCACTTAAGCTTTTTTATGTGTTGTAGAGCATCTATTAGGTAAGTTCTTTTTCTGAGCGTGCGTGCATATTTACTTCTAACATAATTCATATTCTTACACAAAAAATAATGAGAGAATACATTTTAAGAGACTATTACTTTTAATAGTCGTGCTGTAGTGTTAATATTTGGATTAGTGCTTTATAATTTTAACTCGCTTTAAACTTATTGCTTAATAATCCATAACGGGCAGCTTCAGCCGATATGTGATCCCAGGCCAGCGCTTCTGGAGGTAGGCGGTTATGATTTTGTCATTTTTTAAATGAAATAAGTTCACGGGTAAGTACCTAATACGTATAAAAATGAAACACAAGAATATTAGTATAAATACGTTTTATTATAACCACAGCGGAATGAATGTCGAACAGATATTTACACAAAATTAAAAAACATAGATAATTAAAATATTAATAACGTACTTAGATTTGAAATATAATTATTATTCAAACACACAGAAACGTTAAATACTTAAATTTCAGTGAAAACTGACAGACAGATTGATAGTTACATAGCATAATAAATTAAATGACATTCTATCACACCGAGTTCGCTGAATGGTATTGCGATTGTTCCTGTTTTAATTCCTATATTACTATTGAATACATACCTACAATATTTGATTACTGCACTATGTTGTATGATTAATGTTCATAGCAAACAGAAAAAATATTATGCCCGATTAACAAAATAAAATATAAATGTATAAATAATAATATCCTATGTATTTAACAAAACTCCTTTACAGCACAACAACATAAGTAGATAAACTAAGTACAAAAGACTCAACAAATATTTACTTAAATGACTCACATTCTCTTACCTAAATCTAAAGATCGACTTCATTACAATGCGGGGTATTAAAATCTGGAAGTTTATTGATTATGTATAAGTTAAAATGTAAACGCTTGCACTAAGTCTTATTTGTGACCGTTCTCCCAAAGGAATTACCAATTTTGAAATCAGTTCATATCAGTATTGAGCAGGGAGCGATGCTGCTAGATTAAATAATTTAGAGTTCGTCATGCTTGGGTCCGGAGAACTCTTCATGGCTGATGAAGCCATTTTTGTCTTTGTCCTCGTGCTGGAATATCTCTTCGACGAGCTTGTCGTGACCCTCTAGGATCTGTCTGACATCTTCGCTTATTTCGGCGCCATCGGATGGCACCATTTGCTTTTTCAAGTAATCGCTAACCTGTAAGAGAATTGAATATATTTTAGAAATTTGATTCACTATGTTCTAGTCTGATAGATTTTTGATTGATGGTCTACGTGATGTAAAAGAGAAAGTTAGTCCCCCTCTTAAGATTTAGTATAAAGCTAGAGATCCCACTTACACAGGTATTTAACTAGCACACCAACTGACGGTAATATTACACAAAGTATCTTGAAGTTGAACAAGAACTAATATAATATGGTATTATTTCTAAGACACAAATTAATTTCGAAAAGTTGTACACCCCGAGGTGCTTAGCATAACTTTGTGTGTGAAAACACGGTGAAGAATTGGTCGAATCTACACAATGTTAGTTTCTAGGGTACGGAAGGAAGATGAATAAGGAACTCAGTATCCCTGATACTGAGTTCCTTATTCATCTAATTATCTAATTACGAAATTTAGAATCATCAATCATAATTTTTTTATTTTGTGTTCGACAGTAAAGTTGTTATATTAATTCGTATAAACATACTTTCACCATACCTATAGATAGGTGAAGATAAAACAGTCAATCTGCCTCTTTTTTTTATTTGTCAAGACCTATTTCTTAGCGTGCGGGTGCCGGGTCCATCGCGTATACTAGATAGGGACAACACATTCGACTTCGACAGCGCCTGGGACTTGCGACCCAGGTATAGGTTTAGGGAGTACTCCTTGCGACGTGTCAGCGCTCCCCTCCAATGTTAGCTGTGTTACCCTTCTACCTAACCATATTTGATACAAGCCTAGCAATGCCGCTTTCGATATTCATTCAAGAAAAGAGCTTACTGAGAGCTTTAGAGGGATTTATAGAGGGATTTAGCTGGTATAACTCTCGCACCCACATCCACGGCATACAACGCAACGATATAACCATTTTTAGTTATTTTGTTGGTTAAGTCAAAATATATCTTCTTTCGTTTTTTCGTTTCTTTTTAAAGCGTGGTCTTATAGGGATGTTCGCTTCTACTTTCTCTACTAGTAAGAAATATGTCTGGTCTGGACGCCGAGGCACAGATATCCTCCGGTATTCTGTTACTGCACAGATATCCTCCGCCATTTCAAAGCTGGTGGGATATAAAATTCTCCTAGAGTTAACCATTCTTTTGCAGTTCATTGCGTGCACCTTGTAGGTCTCGTTTGCTTCTTGCTGCAGGAAATATTTTGTTATCTCTGTGTCGGTCTGTCTTCTAGCATTTCCCAATCCAACTCTACTGGACTGCGTACCCACTATGAATTTCTTGTGGAATTATAGCCATCACTCGAGTTCTGATGAATTTTGGAAGGGACCTAACGATTTCGTCTTGTGATTTTGACAAGACATGCATTTTGGTAACTCTTAGGTGTTTGTAGAGTTCCGAAAGTCTTTATAATTTCATTCCAAAGTTATTCGAGCCCCTGTACAACGTTGCCGGATCTGCAGATGGTGCTAGCTCGAGCCACGACTTCTTCTTCACGTCTTAGTGACTTTCGCGATTAGTGTTCTTAAGTGGTTCTGGTTTATATCGTATACCAGAAACGGCCAGTTGAGACGTGATGTTAAGTAATTGTCGTAAATCCAAGCTTTTTTTACGGTACTTATTGGTTTACCTTGTCAATGTCTTTTACGACGTCATCGACTATTGCGTTCATAGATGGAGTACGACCTTTGTAGTCTATCTTTATTGCAAGGAATTTAATATGTAGTTACGGACAAGCTTTAGCCGTAAAAGTAGTAGCATTAGTGGCAAAACCATTATGGTCGAAATTCACCAGCACACATTCAACCCTGGGCGGCAATACGGCAATTTTCATTTTTTTACATTTTCATAGATTCTGATCCGAATGATCTTAGGTATTCTTATGATAAAATAGTTGTCTGAGAGACAACATGTACAACGAGTACTAATAACAATGGAGGCAGGTTTGAATCAGGAAGGAAGAAATCTTCTAAAAACTACAATTAAGTAGGTATCTCTACAACGACTATCGAATTACAACGTAATTCGTCTTGCACTAACAAAGACTAGGTGTGAGAGCATTCTCAAACGCTACCTTTATAATGTAGCCGTGGGAAATGAGTGATAATCATACACTTGGTTTCAAATCTTCTAATTCCTACTCATTCATAAACGCATAAAAACTTATAACCTGCGTTGCGCTCGGTCTGATAACATTAAAGTTTCTCGCGTTTCTTTTGTGTGCTCGTTTTCTTTAGGGATGCGTTTCACAAAAAAGTACTATCACTATCTAGTGTGGCAATTGGGTAGCGTAACGAGCCCTTAACGTCCTAAACTAATTTTTAAATAGTTTTATATTTTTTAAGTAATATGAATAAACAGTCAGACATTTCGTCTGTACCTGCATGTTACAGTATCCCCGTGTGGTGAATACAGAGACGTGGCTTTGTATTCCCCACACGGATACATGGGAGTTAAAATTGGAATAAAACATTAAGTTACTACATGCAATGACATGCAATATAGTAAATTAGCGCATGCATTCTTAACAATTTGCATGCAATGAATTGGCAACCCATACTATTATTACATATATATATACATATATATAACAGTATGCGTTGCAAATACATAACATTACACATAACTACACAATGTTATTACAAAACATTTCTACTGAGTCACGAGAGATGACATACTTTTTATTGTATGGCTAAGTGAAATGTAAAACTCTGTTCGTTATAACATTTAATCTAAATAATGAGACTATTTTCCATGTCTTTTGTCTGTTATCGAATTACTCGTAAATAAAGGTGTTCAATGCAACTTAATATTGTAGACAGGAACATTCTTAGTTGCTACTTTCTGTGTCTTTTCCTATAATAATATGTATTAATAAAACATGTTGGTAATTTATCGGTGCATATACAGATGACAGGGGCTTATTTCTGGAACATTCTTTGTAGTTGTAAAGCAAAGGTGCTAAATGGCAGCGTAAGTGTGCACTGTAAATGTGATTTTCTGCAGTTCCAGGCCATTAGCTTAGCATTATTAATTATAAAACCTCAAAGGGCCAGAAGGGAGATTTAAGTTTGTACTGGTGGGCTAAGACGCGGTAAGTAAAAGACATTGCAGAAATACTTTCATTATTTTTACAAGATTACAAGAGTAGTTGTCGAGTTCGTACTAACTACAGTTGTATTCTTTTGTTTAGGCACATCTGATTTGTTATTACGATCACTCTAATACTACTGTATACATGTTTATGTACTACATACAATCCCAGAAACTTATCAATTGCCTCTAAGTATAGTTTAAGTACCATTTCTTTTCTCAAATCTTATTGTACATTACATCCCTGAAATCATATTGGTGCCTTTATAGTTTCCGGTAATAGCATTTGTGGTAAAGATCAAAGAATAAACAATAATACTGAATTGATGACTCTATTCACATTTAATTGATTTAAAATTTGAACACTTCTACGAGGGCATGGAAAGACATGTAAAATGGATTTAACACTCAATAACCAAATAAAGTCGTTTTTTTGCGCTATTGTAGTAGCCCGGTGAAAGGATCTGATTTGGATTCAATATGTATAGTATATGCGTACAACAGATTTGCATAACTACTTATTTATAAGGTTTCTGAAGAGTCAATACAGATAATGATGCCTTAGCATTGATAAGTTAACGGGAGAAGTTAACACCCAGCGCCTGCAACCGTCCTCCACCTAAAGCTGGGACTAACCTCCTCTCGAGACAATTCCCTGTCTCCATCGGTATCCATGGCTTGGAACGCTAACTCTATACTCACTTCTTCGCGGGGAGAGCATGTTGTCCTTGTCAGCATCAATCTCCTTGAATACATTGGTGGTTGGAGGAGAGTCACCAATGTTGATAAGTTCGACCTCAAAGTGTAAGACAGCGTTAGGGGGGATTACGTTACCAGCGCCGCGCTCACCGTAGCCCAAGGATGATGGGATAGTCAGTTTACGTTTCTCGCCTGGAATTTGAAATATACAATGTGAGTTCGTTGTCCTAATAAAATTTAACTATGTATGTTATGTGTTTCTTATTCTAGATAAAGGAAGCATGATTTTTAAAGGTCATTTTCTTTGAACTGGAATTATATTGATTTTGTATAGTATATATTATATTTTTATGCAGTAGTTGATTTCTATAAACATTGTATTCCTATATTCCAAGGATACAACCGACAGACAAAACTGTAGTTATACATACCTATAAAGAGTTGTGAAATTTGATGTACAACAAACTCTGTACGAAGTTTTAACTGGGTTGAAAGGGTTCTCCAAGTTGCGATTGTACAATCCATAAAAGTGTGTAACCTCGAGTACAAGATCTCTCAAACTTTACGTGTTGATATAGTTGAGAACGTATTGCTCTTTAAGTTTATGAACATATCAGCAACAAATCTTTCGGTATTGGCATCTCTTTGTTTCAAACTAACTAAAGGAGCAGGCAAAACCATACGAAAGATAAGTATTCAATGTCCGTTAGTTGAGAACAGGAAATATACAAAATCTTAGAGAGAAATAACTAAGAATACGAAGTAGAGCCAGACAAAGTACATTTGTACCGAGAAATAAGGCTTCGATAAAACATCACTACTAACAAAGTATTACAGATGGCCGAAGGAGTCTCATAGTTGACGCAGTTAATAGGTTGCTTAATGTTTGTTTGCATCAATCTTTTTATCGTGTGAAAAACCCCTGGTTAACAGAGCCGAGGGTGAAGTAGCATGTCGGACTCGAACCGACAAAACCCACGCGGTGTTCCGCCAGTAATGAGTCTATTGCGGGAGACCCGGGATAGATATTCTTAAAATATAGGCCACCAGTCTACTAGGGGACGGGGATAAGATGGGCGCGCACGGTGCAGGTCGCGCTATCATCTCAGGCTTGCTTCTTCAAGGGCAGCGGTCAGCTCGAACCGTTACAGGGCCGCGCTCATGAATATCAGATAATTTTTTTTGCTCTTCGGCTCCTAATGTGTCTACTACGGGAGTGTTTGTGCTCTCCCTTAATCTTAGTAAATAGCATTTACTAAGATTAATTAAGTACTACTATTTCAAAAAGGGTTGTACTTAATTAATCTAAGGTAAAGTTTCATAGTAATTAAATAATTTATGAAAATAGTAATAACACGAATCTATACTCATACTTACAGTGCGGTCCAGATCTATTATAATTTAAAAATATTTGTGTTACATATAAATATTTAAAAGATTATAATATTTTGCGAAAATGGCAAGTCTTAGTAAGAAATTGTACATTTATTATATTAATATTTTGAATACAACTTTCTTTTGAGTATATCAATATTCCTATTGATCAATTTATAGGACTTAGTTAAAAACATTGAAACGATGGACACGAACTGGCATAGCAAACACTAACAATTCTATCACAAGGGCCGCTCAAGTAGATGTTGTGTGCCGGCGGCGGACTTGTTTTAATATTTTATTCAAGGCAGGGTTTACTTAATAAGACCCCTTAAAAGTAAGTTTCCCGTACCGGTGTCGTGAAGAAGCTGCTCCTGTCTCTTCTCCTAATAATATTGTGTCCGCATTCGTGATAACATTTAAATAATAATAATTATCTCACACATCTTACACGGCCGTCTGATCCAAAACTAGGTAGAGCTTGTAATAGTACAAGCTCTACCTAGTTTTTACCATAGGGTAACCAGACTACTGATAAACATACTCATTTATTTCTAAATACATATACAGGGTTACTGGGTAAGTCGACCTTTAAGGGGTAGAAGATTATTTCTGATAAATTTAACTATGAAAAAATTGCCTATTAGTTAAACAACATGTACGTATTCTCAGCTATCTAACAATATATAAAAGTCTAGGATAGTATCAGAATTCATAGAAAATAACTTAGATGAAACAAAGGGAGTGTTAAGAATTAGCGTGAAAACTTCGCTAGTATTTTTGAACTGTTTTGTTTTCTATTCGTAACTAACTATTGCTAAGTGGGATTTGATTTGTACTTCTGATACTGTTGGAGATGATGCGACACAAGAACCTCATAGTATACCGTCCATCAATTTTTAGGTTGTTTTCGCTCTTGAAACTGACTAAACGTGTAAGTTGATCTATACTCACCAACACACATGTCCAGCAGACCCTGATCCCATCCCTTGATCACCTGACCTACGCCGACTTGAAATGTGAAGGGCTGGTCGCGGTCATAGCTGGAACAACAGAAAAATCAACTTTAATATTGTAACTTATTTTTCTGTAGGCACCGTTAATGCACTGCTGACCTTAAAAACCTTTTTTATGATGTTTATTGTTGTATACGTAAATTTTGGGAACGCTATGGCATATTATATTTGTACAATTAAATGAAAAGGAGGTTAAATAAAGTTAAGGCTATTAAAGATTCTTTATTCCTAAAATAAACATTATGGTTAATAATATATAATTATTTCACTGCCTTTGCAACCGTCCCTACGAATAGAAGCGAATTATGGTCGCAAAATTTTAATTTAAAAAATTAAATTGTTTTATAAAATGTTGCTGGCTGTAATCTAAGAAAAGAAACATTAAAGTTTCCATCAACGTCATCTTTTCAAAAACCGAACGTGCCACAGACTTGATGCGAAAGATTACAATGACAAGATTACAAACTCATAGGCTTTATATATAACGTAGCCTCGTCGTGTTGTCCATATATTTGGCCAATGTGATACGAGTATCAGATAAATTGTCCGGTAGAACAACACTATCATGCTGGGCCTTTGTTCGCCAAGCACAGTTTGGCGTATCCATTACGGTTTATTATTCTACTAGCAGAACCAGTATTTCAAAATTATTAATATCAACAAAGTGTAAATTACTTCATCGAGTATTTAAAAACATAGTTTCACGTTTTCTGTTTGAACGTTTATTCACTTAAACTATTACTGAATAAATGACTAGATATACTTATTCTGCATACCTGAATAAGAAATAGAGATAATCATAATGTGCTACAAAATTTAAAAGACATGGTTTTGGACGGTCACGGATATAGTTTAAATTAAAATAAAACATGTTAAATGTAGAAAAATAAAGATGTTATCGTTATTGTTTCATTTACTATGACAAGTATTTCCCAAGTGATAACTGTACCGCGCTGATAATAAAAAACTGTACCGCGCTGAGTTCAATAATTATCTTTGTAAAAGAGTATTGTGAATGTGATTTCATATTCTACTTACACTAAAACAAATAGCCAGTGAACTCAGGGAATTCTAGGCAACACCGGACACAAAAATAAAGCTGCTAAAATAGTGTTGAATTAGGAAACGACTTTTGCTTAGTTTAGCTGCAAAGAAGTAAAAGTAGTGGATGAATTGAAGTTAAGTTTATTGCTAATAGATAAAAAAAACACTAGTATGTCGTAATATATTTCTATGTTATGTTGCTTTTAACGGACTTTGAAAATTGATATGTACTTTATCGGGACTTAAGCGTAAAAGCAATGCACAACAGAACAGAAAAAGAACGGTCAGATAAGCTTAAAGAGGATGCACACTTTCCGCTATGCTTTTTAGTCGTAAAAAACTAATTTATTGAGTGTGTACATACTCAATAAATTAGTTTTTTCATAGTCATGGAACATCTTCGTATTGAACTTCTAGTGGTAGCACTTATTTGAAAGCGATGCTAAAATTCAACACAGTAGTCATGAGAACTAGTGGCATAATAGTACGACTACCTTACTTCCACTGATTGCCTGATGGCGAGTGGTGACTATTCACTGCTTTCTTTTGGAACTTTTTGTTTTCATGTTTCATCAAAAAAAAAAAGAATGTCAGTATACTCGTATATAGTATAGTTTTTGAATTCTGTTACTTTAAAATGACTGTAGTTTACGGAAAAAGGGAGAATATGTAATTTTATTTAAAAAAAGATATAATAATTATTTTTCATGAGATAATTTATTTATAATATTATCAATCTTTAAAACAAGCTAAACGTTAAAAATGTAAACATTTAAGTTTAATATTTTCATAAACTATTATGGCTGCTTATTACAATTTGTTTTTGTTGTTAACAGAGGTTGACAGTTTGATTGGTTCATTTTCTCAAGGAAAAGAAGTTAGCAATAATTAATAACTTATTACTATTACAAGCATCGCATCCCCTAAATTGCCCTAAGAAAAAAGGTTTTTTTAATATATTTCTTTTTAATAATACTAATAATACTTGAATTTTTTACTTTGATCAGGGGATAGCGCTGGAATAACCATGGAATAACCTTAATATTCGAATATTGACGAAATCATTCACTAATAATACCAGCACCGTGTATGGCACAGTTATCTTGAATAAAATTAGTTCATTAAATTCTTTCACAGGATAAACAGGTAGCACACGCCACAGTAGGTAGTTTTATGTCGTTCAAAACCTGGACGTAATGGAAGTCTGGTTTGGAACCATTTGATTCACAATCACCAACCACTAAGCGTCGCTGAGACTGGAGTAGGCCAGAACCTCCTTTCTAAGGAGAGGCTTATGTTCAGCAGTGGACTGCTATAGGCTGTCGTCGATGATGATGATGATGATGAGAATGGTTAACAAGTGGCGATATAATAATATAATAATAATAATATTCTATCACATTCACACAACGCCATCTAGTCAAAACTAAGCGGAGCTGGTACTATGGGTGCTAGGCAACTGATATAAATACATATATATTGACGTGACAACGTCTTATAAATTGGTTTGCCGGGTGACACTTCAAGAAACTGCGTTACGCTCCGCTCACGTTATGCGCTCACAATGAGAGCGAGTGAGAGGCACGCGTCCCTTCCACTCGGGCATGGTTAGCCCGCCTAAGAGCGAGAGAGACAGACATAAAAAGTGAAAGGCACGCGTCCCCTTCCACTCGAGCACAGTTAGCCCGCCAAAATTATTTTACCACTCAAGTCGTTGTCACGTAAAACTTTCGCCCGTATACCGACTTTACAGGCAACCAATTTTTTTTTGTTTGTAAATACATACATTTTATACATAGAAACACCCAGACCAAATCAAACATTAAATGTTCATGAACACAAATGTTTGACTTTAGCGGGAATCGAACCCGTGACCTTTAGAATAACAGCCCGTTACACAAACCACTACGCCATCCGGCCGCCGATTGGTTAATATTCTGTTCACTCAACGTCTCGCAGTTTTTTTCTAATTATTATGAGATTATGAAATAAAATCACACACCACGATTATCATCACACAATCCATCAAAATAACTTACACATGTGATATTTCAGATATTCATCATCATCATCATCATCAACAGCCTATACTAGTCCACTGCTGGACATAGGCCTCTCCTTCAGATATTAAATATTATAAATTATTATATTATTAATTATTATATTTTATTTCAGATATTAAGCCCACGTAAAGCTATAACGTTAGCCGTTACAGATATTCAATATAAATATCAGTAGCAATTAATAACACAAATGCTCGTAACTAAGTTCACTAACCGACATCAAAAGAACAATGGCAGAAACATATTTACCTAAAACTTAAGCGTTTAAAAAATCGAGTCACAGTAAACTTAATCAAATTTTTTTCTATGATTTATCATTACACCACCATGTGTTGTATAAGTCTTATAAGAGATAAGATATTTTTGAAGATTTTATTTGACCTAAGTACGTAATGTCAGATTCTCCATCACGTATAACTGACTAGGGATGCGTGGTGGCAATATTATATTATGGAACAATTTATCGATAATCGATTCTTATAGCTTTGGCTGAAATATTTACCGAAGGTTCACTATTATGATTATGAATTTGCTTCTGCCCACGTCTTCACTCGTACGGTAGAGTGACTGAATCAACATAATTAGAAATGATTTAAAATATTTTTGACTCTCTTTAAACGATTTTAAACACACTAAAGAAATAGAATATAGTTACGTTATTTTCCACAACACAGTGTAATGAGAAAAATACATTGTCATTGATAACGGCACATAAATAGACATACATCGATATTTTCAAATTGTCGATACGTCGTCGTTTAGTACATATCTCTTAATCTGTGGTTTAGATCCTGTCAAGTTCCGGACTCACCACGTTTGTTATTTTATTTTTGTTTAATTTAGTGTTAATCTCGAATAGATGTTATGCTTTAATTTTTTTTATTTCATATACTGTATAATAATGTAATAATAATGAAAATAATATTTTCGGCTATCTGACACACAACGCCATCTAGTTTCAAACAAAACATTAACAATATGTTAGTACTTAACCTCGAAACATTCAAAATCCAATATCTTTTTTCCTAGACTTCTTCCGCAAGTAATTTTGATATGAGAATGGTCAAGAATAAATTCTCAAGTGTTAAGGATTTTTTGATATTTAAACGCTAACATTTCAGTTCAAATAAAATTATGTATGGGGACCTGCCATTGTCCTTTGAGGGTGTTTTTGAAACAATAAAATAGTTTGTTGTTTCAAATCTACCCCCAAGTTTTACTGACTATATTAGTTTAAAATATTGAATCAAAAATTTACATTCTTTCACGTTCGTTACAATACTGCACTCATAACCACATTCCATGAATTCTCAAAAAGTTATTGTAAGGTTGAATGAGTTTTGAAACGGTGGCATTTGATTTAGCGCGTCCACAGCAGCGCCAGACGGACAGTTATTAATTGCATTGTACTATACGTACGTAGCGTGTATATGTGCGTGTGATATACGTTAATAGAAGAAGGGTATAAGTCCAACTAGTTATAATGCTATAACTTTGTAAAAGCGCTACTTTTAAGTTAAGTTTATTTTCAATTGTCAATCTAACACAGAAGAATCTTTAGTAAAATTTACACTCGACTCGTACAAGCGCTGTGCACCAGTTAGGCTTTCACCACTACTAATGTAACAACGCACCATTTCGTAACACTCGCGATTAGAAACCATTGTTGGCACTGTTGACGTCACGGAAGAACGAGTGGTAAATACAAAGGATGCATCGACACGACAAGATGCAGCCGACTGATCTATTAATTATTTAATTGTTGGATTTGTACCGGCCGGCGCCCGGATTTCGCACACGACTGACCCGGCCACACCGCGACCCCCGATGCATTCTTTCCATCACTGTATAAGTAACTAGCATAAGACTATTTTGTACGTTAGAATTAGTGAACACGCTGCTAAATACTTTTTTCGGGAT